GACTTAATACTAAAACATCAACTTACCTGTACTTGGTTCTTGAGAGTACTAGAGTAAACCATGTCTTAATACTAAAACATCAACTTACTCATAGTTGGTTCTTGAGAGTACCGGAGTAAACCATGACTTAATATTAAAACATCAACTTACCTGTAGTTGGTCGTCAGAGCCGAAGTACTGATTACTGGAGTGCAGAACGCCAATCTGTTGATGTTGTCACAGGAAACAGAAGATGGTGGTCTGCCGATCTGATGAGTACCGTTTCCTCTGTAATCCGTGCTCTGGTCGCTCTGACTTCTGAGCGGTGGACTCGACTTAACCCCTGCACGCCGTTCTTTAGCTAATGGACTCTTCTCACGTAACGGTACGTCAGACCTTCCAAGGTCATCACTAGTTTGGGATTTCGGACTCCCATCCTTAAGTAACAGAAACACTTTACTTACATCACAGTTGCAAACAAGATACAATGTACTGTGTATTAACTGCAATGTTTAATTTTGAAATTACAGATCAGGCATATATAGAACTGTTGACCTGAATATGGAGTTAATATATACAGTTTCTACCGAAATCATATATGTATATGGAACTTTGAATAGATGTAAGAAATTATATTCTACGTACAACACTATCTAGATTCTTAGTTCAAAACTGTCTTTAGATATTGATAAACTGTAATTATATTCTACGTACAATACTTTGCATGAAGTATGAGCTGTGATACTTGTTAAAGTGACCTGATCTTACTCACGCGTAAAGCAGATAATGACGTGGAAGTCTTTTTCTTCCTCATTCTGCCAGTGCTTACAGCAAAACTGGACGCTCTCTTAAAAGTGGATAACGAAACGTCCATGGAAGAGCTACTTCCACCTAAGGATTCGAGAGTCCATTTTCTTCCACCAAACACCTGTTGGCAAAGTTTGGGTTGGGTTACTCTGATAATTATTAAGATAGTTAACAACACTATTTCTAGACAACAAATCAACCACGTAACAATAATGTTTGTACACAACTCATAAGACAGTTAACAACACTATTTCTAGACAACAAATCAACTACGTAACAATAATGTTTGTACACAACTCATAAGACAGTTAACAACACTATTTCTAGACAACAAATCAACCACGTAACAATAATGTTTGTACACAACTCATAAGACAGTTAACAACACTATTTCTAGACAACAAATCAACTACGTAACAATAATGTTTGTACACAACTCATAAGACAGTTAACAACACTATTTCTAGACAACAAATCAACCACGTAACAATATTGTTTGTACACAACTCATAAGACAAGTTAACAATATTCGACACAAGATTGATATTAACGCGTACCGTGCTATTCAACCTTTGAGCAATGACCATGGGATCAGTTTTCTTCCGATCCGGTCGTCAGACATAGATTTACACGGTCTCCAGTGCATGCATCACGGCACTACTGTGGTTCATTGGGAGGAAGATGGATCCAGGTCTTCCCTCTGTTTTCTCAAGCTGGAGAGGAGCAACGCTACTCTCACTTGGAGCAAGACTGGCTGGAGCGCTTTAAAGGGAAGCAACTACCAGGATTATTCCCTGACCACGAATATTGAGGAGTTGGTGCCACCTGGTGTGGTTCTGAAGAATGAAAACAACGACATCGTATTTAACGGCCTCGAAGAGGGATATCTCGAACTTCAGTGCATTAAAGAGATACGCCTCGGAGAAGGTGCTGTCGACGTGGCAACGACAGTATCACGACGACACGGTCTGGAGGAAATGGATGCTGACAGTTGTTGTCTCAAACTCATCTTCGGGGCCAGTTTGTCCGATAACCGCTCTGTCGAATTTATAGCGCCCCCTATGGTTGCCGAAATTTGGGCTCGTGGATTATCGCAAATCGTGGCCCTTCATAGAAGACAGCAACAAATGTGTGACCGGAGGATCCAGTGGGTCAAAGAAAAATACCTACAATTATTCTTCAACGAACAATCTTGTTTTGGTCCTACTCCAGCAGAAGCTATAAAGGTAATACAGTTAATTACTGAAAAGGAAAGTACATTTATAATAATGACAGAATGCATGTCGCTGTTCCAAACACAGACGTCTTGTACTCAGATTTGTATATCTTCAAAACAACCAGTGAGTCATGAAAACAAATTAACTTTATATCCACCAAAACGGGCAAATTTTTAGTCGAGGACGACAGTTTGTATGAACCTTATGTTCCAGTGTGGCTCAGGGAACACCTGGTAACATACCACATAACATAAGTTATACCACATGTGAGATTATATGTTTCACGCTACACCTCACGTAATTTTACGTTTCACGTCAAACCTCACGTGAGTATATAATGTGTGTATTGTAGCCACAGTTCACACCTAAAGCTGTGATTGAGTCCATAGTTCACACCTAAAGTTGTGTATTGTGGCCATAGTTCACACCTAAAGTGGTGTATTGTAGCCATAGTTCCCCCCTAAAATTGTGTATTGTGGCCATACTTCACACCTAAAGCTGTGTATTTCAGCCATAGTTCACACCTAAAGCTATGTATTGCAGCTATAGTTCACACCTAAAATTGTGTATTGTGGTCATCGTTCACACCTAAAGCTGTGTATTATGGCCATAGTTCACACCTAAAGCTGTGATCGAGTCCATAGTTCACA